TGAATTTGACGATCATGAAAAATGCACTTTAGACTAAATAAAGCTGCGGAGCTAGAGCCTTGGTTACGAATTTGGCAGAATCAGTAACTTTGGGCCCTACCCTATATATCCAATATGTATAAATAACTTATTTCCGAACTGAGTAAGCTATATTTTCTAGAATCCAAAACCCATAAACTCAAAATTCTGAATCCACCTCCTCACAATTAAACAGATTACAGTGAGGTACACATTTAATCAAACACTTCCAAATGAGAAACACTAATACGCAATCAGTGGCAGAGATACCTAAACCAAGTGATGTAAAAAATTAATCACAAATTTCAGAATCTTTACAAAACCAATTAACAGTAAAATTTTGAGTAAGATGCTATCTTCTAGCAGGAAGGATGCCGACAGTGGGCGAATAACAGTTAAATTTAGCAGAGCGAATGGCATCAGTGATAGCATCTTCGGCGATTGGTGTAGTACGGAAACAGGGGAAAACAGAAGGATCGCCATGGCCGAGAGGGATAACGGATCGGGTATCAGCAGTGTCAAGGCAAGACGTCAACTTGTCAAGCACACTTCTTACGGTGAGATTCGATGCACTCACCAATTTCTCAATTTCCTTAAAGTTTCATATTTTCCTTGTTGTAGTAGTGTCGTTCTCCATGCTGGTGACTATGAATTCGCAGATATGGACTTGAGGAAGAAGGAGGTAGAAATGTAACTGCAATTCTATTCAAACCTACAAAGCCAAAATATAGAAAAGAGATAGAAACCCACAAACAGAAAGTAGTGATTCAAAAAAGACAATCAATACGAACAGTTACATGTAAGAGAACAGTTGTGGCTTGACCATAGTAATTGAGAACTTAATAGGGATTAAAAGATGCTACGTAATTATTTTTTATTTGATGGACATAGTTATCTAGTAGCTGCTGCTAGTGAGAGGTTGACCATACCCTGTGAGATTAGATGAAGTGTGCGAAAGCTAATAAGAAAATGACAAAAATGATACTCCCTTCGTTTCACAAAGAATGACTTGGTTTGACTTGGCACGGAGTTTAAGTAAATAAAGAAGACTTTTGAATCTTGTGGTCCTAAATTAAAGTTATGTCAAATGTACAAAATTGCCCTTAATCTTGTGGTCTTAAACATGTCACGTGGAAAGCAAAAAGTAAAATGTTACCAAAAAAGGAAAGAGGTCATTCTTTTTTAAACTGACTAAAAAGGAAAGGAGGTCATTCTTTGTGAAACGGAGGGAGTAATAGATTTTCAGCTTTGTCACCGCCTTTTCGGACCCAAGTCAACGCAATCTTTCATCACAATGAATTTCAAGTCATTGTTACAAACAGAAAAGATAAGCTCGTGTATCTCACGAGGCACAATACAAGTGATTTTCGCGAGGAAAGGCTCAAAATAGTCTCCCATCTCTGGGTTAAGGTTCAAAGTCATCCTTGAGTTTTCACATAGAACAGTAATAGTCCTTCATGTTTGCAATATTGGTGCACTTTTGGTCCTCCCCTAAATTTTTGCCTATTTTTTAACATTAATTTTGTTCACAATTTTATGTAAGGAATGTCCAATCGTCTTTTTATATATTTAGTAGAAATAATAACTCCATATGAGAGAATGTGAGAAGAAAAGCATCTTGTTTTGTTTAGTAGAAATCGTATTGCAGGTAAAGTCGAGAGGTTCATCACGATCATTTTACGTGCAATAGTACAATTTTTTTCTTTTCTTCCAACGTCATATGTTAAGATGTTGTTAGTTTAACTGCAGTAATATTTATACTGAACAGAACAAGGTGTTCTTTTTATCACCTTCTCTCACATAGAGTTATTATTTCTACTAAATATATAAAAAGACGATTGGACATTCCTTACATAAAATTGTGAACAAAATTAATGTTAAAAAATAGGCAAAAATTTAGGGGAGGACTAAAAGTGCACCAATATTGCAAATATGAGGGACTATTAGTGCTCCATGTGAAAACTCAAGGATGACTTTGAGCCTTAATCCAAAGATGAGGGACTGTTTTGAGCCTTTCCTCGATTTTCGCCCTCTTAAATTAGGGTTGTATTCTAAGGGAAAGTGATTTTTTTTTCTTAGAAAAATATTATCCCAAAAATATTTGGGAAAATGGTCTATATATCTTTTAACTTTATCATTTAGAGTGGCTTATTTATACAAGGTCTAACTCATCGGTGGTCCCCTAAAGTTGGCAGCAATTTTCACTTAAATACTTTAACTAGGTTTTATTCATTTTAGACACCTCGTGTCAAGCCCTGTTGTGTCATTTGACCCTTTCCACTGACATGACAAAGTGAGTGTTATACACTCGCTATTGACGCGTGAGTGGCTTATTTAGCCTATTTTATTTTATTTTTTCTCTCTTCTTTTTCATTTTACAGCCACTATCTCTCCAATTATTTCTCAAAGCTTAAAGTACTTCAACGGAGGTTAAATCTTTTGTTATTATAATTTCAATTTAAATTTCCCACTACAAGCTCAGGTAGATCCAAAAAGAAACAAGAAATCGAACCCATATCAACAACACCCATATCATGTAAAGTTCACCCACAATAATCCTAAAGAAAAAAGTAAAAACAATTCTTCAAATTAAATATATCCACAGTCTCAATTGCCAACATATAACTGCCAACAACTCAAATTTCAAGTTAACAAAAATAGGAGCCAAAAAGATCCCAATTTTCATTATGTAAATGTTAATCTCACTAACCTTAAGCCCTAATTAAATTACAAATATCTCAAAATTAAAGAAAAGGAGACTCGAGCTTAAAAATACGAACCATTGTTTGTTATACATTTGCACCTCTTAACCCGGAATCAAATGAAAAAATGTGAGGGGAGGTGCAGTGAAGAAAACGGTCAAAATTCAGTGAATATGACAAAAAAAAATGAAAAAAGAGGAATAAAATAGAGAACATGACTGTGTGGATGTGAGTGTGACGGAAAAGACAATGAAAATGGAGGAATATGATAGAGTAGATTGTGTGGGTGTGGGTTTATGGCAGAAAAAATAAGGTTAAAAAAATAATAAAAATGGAGTAATACAATGGAGAAGATGACTTTGGGAAGCTGTGGGGGTGTGGAATTTTTCTTTAAATTTGTCAAACTATTTTATTTATTTATTTTGATAAAAAAAACCACATGTCATTTATTCATTGGTTACTTTGTCTTATATTTTGATTCTTATTTTTTTCTCTTTAATATGATAGACTTTTAATGAGTTGGCATGATATAATTGGGCATTTAATCCATGTGGACGCACTTGGTTAACACGCACTTGGAGTCAACATGTACTAGTGAAAAAAGTGTCAAAATGACACAATAGGGTCTGACATGAGGTGTCTAAAACAAACAAAGTCTATTTAAAGTGTCTAAGTGAAAAATTGTTGCCAACTTTAGGAGGTCACCGATGGATTAGGCCTTTATACAATTGTTACATAAATGGCTCACATATACCCTACATGAATTGTTTTTTAATAAAAGATTAATTATTTTTTTATTAATAAAACATATTTTTTCACTTCCTTAGAGGAAAAGGGTATATGCGGGCCAATTTTATAAAGATAGGAATATGTGTGAGCCACTTTTATAACGAGGAGTATATCAACTCTAAATAACAAAGTTGAGAGGTATATCAAACCCTTTTCCCAAAATACTTAGATGTAATCTGGACAAATATTATAACATCATATTCGGACCCCACTCTTTGACACAAACCCGAACCTCTTTATCACATTCCAAACTCGAGATCCGATCGGACCTCAACATCCACCAGAAACACAACCTCGCCCTTGACTCAATACTCAACCCCACCTCCAACCCTAACATCGATCCCAACTAGAGGTGGCAGAATGGGTAATTTATATGGGTATTCACTCATATTTACCTATTTTAAATGGGTTGAGTACCCAACTCATTTTAAAATGGGTAAAAACGAATAATACTCATATTTACCCATTTAAAAGTGGATAGTTAAATGGATAATATGAATAAAAAATGTTCATTCATAAAAGAAAGAAAAGTGATTAGGGGTGGGTGGTAGAAAAAGTTTCTTCTTTTTTAAAATGTGAGGGGTGCATTGGGGGGTGGTAAAAAAAAAATTATAATTTTTTTTGGAATGGGGGGTGGGGGCTGGTAGGGAGGGTGGAGTGATAAAAAAATAAAAAAGATTTTATTTTTAAAGCTTTTAACAAGATCTTAACTATAATATGAGTACCCATATTATTCATTGGGTAACTCGTTTTTACCCATTTAAAATGTGAGTCGAGCCGAGTGCTTTATCCATTTTTATTTAACTCGTTTTCGATCGACTCATATTCGACTCAACTCAACTCACTCATTTGCCACTCCTAGTCCCAACTTAGAAACTAATCCTCGATCCTACCCTGACCTAACCCTAACCCAACTTGAGACCAAACCCTAAGCCAAGACCCAACCTTGACTCAAGTTGGGGATTGGTTGGGTCAAATACTAATCTGTGTCAAGGTTGGAAGTCGTATTTTGGATCGAATTCGGATCCCTAATCAAAGTCGGGATTAGGAATCGAATTCCATGTCGGGGTTGATAGTCAGGTTTCGGGTCGTGATAGAGGTTGGGTGGTGAAGTTGAAGAAAGTTTTGAAAAATACATTTTTTCTTACTTTTAATAAATTACGTTCATTTGAAAAATATTTAAGCCAACCAAATATAAGAAAATTAAAAAATATTTTCCTTCTTAAGAAACACAGAAACTAGTTTGTTTTTTTTCTGGACTTTGAATAATAAATATCTTTGCCCTAACAAAAACATATAGAACATTCCAAGAGTTTGTAGAGAATTAGGAGGTGAATTCTAGAAATATAGTTACAAGGCAAAGAACAGAAAATCTAGAAAGGTAAGTGGTTCATTTGAGTTATTTGTGTTCAAGTAAAGAGTGAGTTCGCAAGAACGTATCAAACGAAGTTACAAGAGTCTAAGTGCAAAAGAATTTGAGTATAAGAATTGTAAGATCGAAGATTGTCCTTACTTAGCAACCAATTGTGCCCAACAATATTAAACAATCTGCACATTTCACAAACACGTGTTCTAGCTTTGCTAGTTAAAGGCTATCTTAAAAACACATTCACTAGTAATGGTGCATTATTGATATTCACTAGCAGGAGTTCCGGATGATATTCCCCAGAATGATATTGTCTGTGATAATCCGGAATTAGCTGATACCACCATTCTGAATAACATATAACATTCCTCTGATGACTCGACAAAATTGTTGAAAATCTAGCCAACTTATGTATGAGCTATTGTTCGTACACCACACCGAGGGTCAACGAGTAGTTGAAGATCAATTGCCACTCCGCAAAGCAGAGATATCCACCAACATTATTTTTAAAGTTACTTGAATTCAATAAAAAAAAAAAAAACAGAAAATTGTTTAGTTTTTGAGTACTCTTAACTCAAGATTGCAGGTTCTCTTGACGAACCAGGACCATAGGTTGTAGGAAGAAAATATCTGATTTCATCTTGCAGCGTCCTCCATATCAGGGGACGGTAACAGATATAACGGCTGTTTCTCAGACAGTAGCTTATTGTTTCTTGGCGTGCCTTTTATAGAAAGCATTTAGTCTCTGGAACCCATCTTCCAGATATGATGGCTCACATGCAAAGGTTATCCTGAGCCAATTCTTGAGTCCTACAGCAATACCTGCACCAAGAGTTATTGTCAGATATCTATACACAGCATAGCATCACACCAGTTTTTGTGCATGCAGAACACACAAACTTTGTATTCATATGCTAGCTCTTTTGAGTGAGTCTACTTTCATGCAGCGAATTAATACATCAATACCAGAAGTACACGAATTTTACCTTCATAAAACATGGTTACATCTATGGAGTCTAATAAAAATTGACGAATTTCTGCTTTCGTATCAGTTGCATACTTGCATTGATAATCAGACTTGTATGTATCCCAAAAAATGATCACTAGCATGGCAGATCTTATGTATATGGATGAATTCTATTTGTCCTGTAGGAACTTTCTGAATTGGACGCAATTAAAGGCTTGTTTGGCGTAATAAAAGAATCAAATGACATTATGACCCATGAATACGAAAGCTCTATTGACTAAACGTATGAGAAACATTGCAAGAAATCGAAAAAAATAAAGGAACTTGAAAAGATTGTCCTCCAAGAAAGGGACATTTGTTCAAGTAAGAAAATCTGTCTACTGTTTCGACAGAGTTTGATTAGCTTTCTAAGAGATTTGTTTTCTTTTACCTGGTAAAATTATCATAGATTCTTCCCTAGCCAGCTTTGCGCAAAAGTCCAGGTCATCTTCGATGTCTTCTAGAAGATTCAAATGAAGTTGAACCTACAAGAGGAAAAAGACCTATATTAGACTATTGATAACATCTTCTAACTAATTAAGCTTCCATTTTTCTCATACCATCACAAACATAGATCCTTGAGGTTTACTTGGGCAAGTGATGCAAGGAATATCCTTGATTCTTTCATAACAGAAATCTGCATCTTCTCTTAGCATATTTACTATTTTAGAGAAGAAATCGTCTTTTGTATTCTTAAGGATCTGAGGAATTGCCCCCTGTCAAAGTAAGAACAAAAAGAAACCAGATACCTCAGTAAGCGACGAGGAAAATTACACCTATACTACTAAATTTTCAAATAACTATTCCATTAGCTTATGTGAAACATGTTTACATAATACAACAAGCTGTTAGACCAAAATAAATTCCAATCCTTTAGCAACTCTACCAAATGTGTGGCAAAATGGAACAACAAGTGTTACATTTCCAAAAGAACGCAAGCAGAAGAGAGAACTATAAAGAGCAAACCTGAATAAAAGTCGCAGGGTCAGAAGATATATTGAGATATCCCGTGATGGAATCTATGACCTGCAAATAACAATACACAAAGTGACGACGGATAGACATTGTTTGTTTGTAAAATAATCTAAGATATCATATTATACTTATATAGTCCCCTATAATATGTGTGGAAGCAGTAGAAAATGGCCATCTTTAAAAGGTAAGTACCCCATGCTCTTTTAGTATACCATTTGGATCATTTGTAACAAGCCAACCAAGTCGCCAACCAGGGACAATCCACATCTTTGATATGGATCCGAGAGTAATAACAGGGGCAATCGATCCAAAGACTCCCATAGGCACAAATGGTCTACTTCCAAAAGTGAGATGAGCATAAACTTCATCAGAAATAACTAAAATTCCAAGTTTTCTTGCCGTCTCTGCCACCTGATAGAAATTAAACCACCTCTTTATATTCATAATAATGACTTAGGATATCAATATACTACAACAAAAAAGGAAGTACACACACATACCTTCTTCAAGTGATGGTCTGTGTAGACATTGCCACAAGGATTCCCAGGATTAATAATAACTATAGCCATGGTATTTTCATCGGCCAAAGACTCAACCGCATTAAGGTCCACCTCCCACTCCTTGTCCGGGAGAAGATTAAAGTGGCGCATTTCGATATGGGTAAATGCAGCCCTAGCTTCATAAAAAAGGAATCCAGGAGTGGGAAGTAGAATATTTGCGTTTGGACGCGCAAGAGCACTCAAAAGTACTTCAATTGCTTGAATACATCCACTTGTCAAGTAAATATCATCCGGGGACAACTTGTATGGGAGATCTTGAGAAAGGTATTCTGCTACCGCCCTTTTCAGAGAACAAAATTAAATGAATTTGACGATCATGAAACATGTCTCCAACATTAACTTTACACTAAATAAAGCTGGGGAACTAGAGCCTTGGTTACGAGTTTGACAGAACCACTAGCTTTTTCCCCTTCCCTAAATTTAAGTTGAGAAATCCAATATGTATACATAACTTACTCCGAACTCAGTAAGCTATAGTTTCTAGAATCCAAAACCCATAAACTCAAAATTTTGAATCTGTCTCTTCACAATTAAACAGATTACACTGACTGAGGTACACATTTAATCAAACACCTCCAAATGAGAAACACTACTATGCAATCAGTGCCAGAGACACCTAAACCAAGTGCTATCAAAAATCAAAAACTTAGAACGATTACAGATTTCAAAATCTTTACAAAATCAATTAAAACATTAAAATTAACATTGTTCGACTAAAATTTTGAGTAAGCAAGGCAAATAATATGCTACCTTCTAGCAGGAAGGATGCCGACAGTGGGCGAATAACAGTTAAATTTGGCAGAGCGAACAGCATCAACAATAGCATCTTCGGCGATTGGTGTAGTCCGGAAACAGGGGAAAGCAGAAGGATCGGCAAGGCAGAGAGGGATAACCGGTCGGGTATCAGCAGTGTTGAGGCAAGACGTCAACTTGTCAAGGACAATTCTTATGGTGAGATTCGGTGCACTTTCTAACTTCTCAGTCTCCTTAAAGTTCCATATTTTCCTTGTTGTAGTAGTACCGTTCTCCATGACTATGAATTCGCAGATATGGAGTTGAAGAAGCAAAGGAGGTAGAAACAGAAAGATAAGCTCGTGTATCTCACGAGGCACAGTACAAGTGATTTTTGCCCTCTTAACAATAAATAGGGGTGTATGTATTCCAAAGGGAAAATAATTTATTTATTTTTTAAGAGAAAAATATTTAGATATAATCTGGACAAATATTATAATATCATATTCGAACCACCACTCTTTGACACGAACCCGAACCTCTATCACATTCCCGACATTTTTTCTTTAAGTTAGAGGAAAAAATAAGTTCATTTGAAAAATATTTAAGTCAATCAAATATGAAAAAATTGAAAAATATATTTTTCTTTCATATACCAAACACAGAAACTAGTTTTTTTTTCTAGACTTTGAATTATAGACATCTTTGCCCTAATAAAAAATATAGAACATTCCAAGAGGTTGTAGAGAATTAGGAGGTGAATTTATAGAAATATAGTTACAAGGCAAAGAATGGAAAATTTAGAACTTCTAGAATGAAGTAAGTTAGTTAATTAATCCTCCGTCATCAGGCAACTGGTTCATTTGAGTTATGAGTTCCCAAGTAAGTATCAAATTTGAAATGTATTAAGTGAGAAATAATAGAGCAACAAAAGAAGTTACTAGCGTATGAATGCAAAAGAAATTGAGTATAAAAATTGTAAGACCGAAGATGGTCCTTACTTAGTAAGAATAAAGTTTACGCGGTGAGCAACCAATTGTGCTCAACGATATTAAACAATCTGCACATTTCACAAACACTTGTTCTAGCTTAGCTAGTTAAAGGTTATCTTACAACCACATTCACTAGCAATGGTGCATTATTGATATTCAGTAGCAGGAGTTCGGAAGATATTCCCCAGAATGATATTGTCTGTGATAATCCTGAAGTGGATACCATTCAGAATAACATATTACATTCCTCTGATGACTCGAGGAAATTGTTGAAAATCTAGCCAACTTATGCATGAGCTATTGTAGCACCGAGGGTCAACGAGTAGTTGAAGCAATTGCCAATCTGTAAAGCAGAGATATCCGCCAATATTGTTTTTAAAGTTATTTGAATTCAATGGAAAGATGAGCAGGAAATCGTTTGAGTTTTTGAGTACTCTAACTCAAGATTGTAGGTTGTCTCTTGACAAACCAGGATCATAGGTCATAGGAAGAAACATCTGATTTCATCTTGCAACGTGTCTCATAACAAGATACATATCAGGGGACCGTAACAGATATCAAGGTTGTTTCTCAGACAGTAGCTTATTGTTTTTTGGCATGCCTTTGGTAGAAAGCATTTAGTCTCTGGAAGCCATCTTCCAAATATGATGGCTCACATGCAAAGGTTATCCTGAGCCAATTCTTGAGTCCCACGGCAACACCTACACAAGGCATTATTGTCAGATTCTATATAATACAGCATCCCACCAGTTCGAGTTATTCATGTACTTGCCCTTTCGAGTGAGAGTCTACTTTCTTGCAGCAAAGTAATGCACCAACTCGAAAAGTACACAAATTTCACATCCATATAACAATATGGTTACAACTTACATCTATGGAGTCTAATAAAATTTGATAAATTTCTGCCTTGCATCAGTTTTTATGGGTCGAACTGAACTATATATCAGCAGAAGTGATCACTAGCATGGCAGATCCTATATGTACCGATGATTTCTATTTGTCCTTCAGGAACTTTCTGAATTCGACGTAATTGAAGACTGGTTTGGCGCAATAAAACAATCAAATAACATTATGACCTGTGATTACGAAAGCTCTAACAACTAAACACGTATGAGAAACATTCTAAGACGTCGAAAAAATAAAGGAATTTGAAAAGATAGTCCTCCAAGAAAGGGACATTTGTTCAAGTAAGAAAATCTGTCTACTGTTTTCAACAGAGTTTGATTAGCTTTCTAAGAGATTTGTTTTCTTTTACCTGGTAAAATTATCATAGATTCTTCCCTAGCCAGCTTCGCGCAAAAGTCCAGGTCATCTTCAATGTCTTCTAGAAGATTCAAATGAAGTTGAACCTACAAGAGGGAAAAGACCTATATTAGACTATTGATTACATCTTCTAACTAATTAAGCTTCCATTTTTTTCATACCATCACAAACATAGATCCTTGAGGTTTACTTGGGCAAGTGATGCAAGGAATATCCTTGATTCTCTCATAACAGATATCTGCATCTTCTCTTAGCATATTTACTATTTTAGAGAAGAAATCGTCTTTTGTTTCCTGAAGGATCTGAGGAATTGCCCCCTGTTGAAGTAAGAACAAAATGAAACTAGATACATCAGTAAGGGATGCGGAAAATTACACCTACACTACTAAGTTCTTAGTTTACATAATACAAAGAGCTGCTGGACCAAAACAAAATTCAATTATAAAGAGCGAACCTGAATAAACGTTGCAGGATCAGAAGATATATTGAGATATCCCATGATGGAATCTATGACCTGAAAATAAGAAAACACAAGATGACAACATACAGATCATTTCGCTAGAAAATAATCTTATCCTCCTTTTAAAGAATGCTAGTCAGTCTCAATCAAAGATTTTACATGACACATGTAACAAAACCGCCTATGACATACTTTCAGTGTTCCACATTTCTTTAATTTACTGTGAAGTGCTCTTCAACACCTAAATTTGGCTTTATAAGTGAATGCTAAATTATTTTTTCCACAAAAATAAACATATGTGGAAGCAGTAGAGAAAGTACCCCATGTTCTTTAAGTATGCCGTTTGGATCATTTGTAACAAGCCAACCAAGTCGCCAGCCTGGGACAATCCACCTCTTTGATATGGATCCAAGTGTAATAACAGGGGCAATCGATCCAAAGATTCCCATGGGCACAAAATGGTTTACTTCCAAAAAGCGAGATGAGCATAAACTTCATCAGAAATAACTAAAATTCCAAGCTTCCTTGCCATCTCTGCCACCTGATAGAAATTGAAACACCTCTTTATATTTATAATGACTTAGGATATCAATATCATAACGAAAAAGAGGAAGTACACATACCTTCTTCAAGTGTTGTTCTGAATAGACATTGCCACAAGGATTCCCAGGATTAATAATGACCATAGCCACGGTATTTTCATCGGCCAAAGACTCGACCGCATTAAGGTCCACCTCCCACTCCTTCTCTGGGAGAAGATTAAAGTGGCGCATTTCCATCTGAGTAAATCCACCCCAAGCTTCATAATAAGGGAATCCAGGAGTTGGAAGTAGAATATTTGCGTTTGGATGTGCAAGAGCATTCAAAAGTATTTCAATTGCTTGACCACATCCAATTGTTAAGTAAATATCATCAGGAGACAACTTGTATGGGAGATCTTGAGAAAGGTATTCTGCTACAGCCCTTTTCAGAGAACAAAACTAAATGAATTATTCTGAATTTGAAGATCATGAATGACGTCTCCAATAATCAAGAAGCCATATTCCCTTTTGAAATAGCTCTAAAATTGCTTCAAATTCGTATACCCCATAAATGTAAACGCAATCCTATGTAGTTAAGATTAATGTTCACAACAGAGACAAAGTTCAAGAACTATTTGACAAACAAAAGTTGAAGGTTATTTAAAAAAACCTGGGGTTCTTGCAAAAACCAATCAAGGAAAATAAAGACAATGGACCACTTACATTTAATAACAAATAGAGTAAACAGATTAAGTCTTTAACTGTACAGTAGGAACAAAAAAAGGCCCTACCAAATACTGTTAAGTATAAATCTCCAAAAGTTACCCTCAATTGTTGGAACTTTAGACCAGATAAAGGTGCACTTAGAAAAGTCGAGACAGAACATTAACTTCACCCTCAATTGCGGAGCCAGAAATTTTACGAAAAATGTCAAAATACCAAAAAGTTGACATGCTTAAAAAAAAAAAAAAGGGGAAGTCAACATATAATATTTCTACCTAAAACTAAAATGTTAATATAGCTAAACAGTGTAATTTCCAAAAAAAGCATAAGATGGCTCCACCACAGGTGCAGAGCTAGAGTATTAATTCCAGGTTCAACATAAGCCATATCTTTCAGCCAAAACTCTATATTTTTGTAGAGAAATCTACTTAGTATGTATAAGTAACTTGTCTAGATCTAGTAAGGTATCTTTTTTAGGGCCTATTTGGATGGACTTATAGAAAGTGTTTAAAAATGGAGAGGGCAACTAAAAATAAGGTAATCCAAACGGGCACTTAGAATCCAAAACTCAAAACTAAAAATTCTGAAATACTCTATTGAAGATGATATTAGATTTCAAACTCTTTACAAAATCAATGGAAACATTAAATCAATATTGTTCGAGTAAAATTTAGAGTAAAAAATGCCACTGAATGGTACCGTCTAGCAGGAAGGATGCCGACGGTGGAGGAATAACAGTTGAACTTAGCAGAACGAACGGCATCAGAAACAGCATCTTCGGCGATTGGTGTAGTCCGAAAACAGGGGAAAGCAGAAGGATCCCCATGGCCAAGAGGGATAACGGGTCTGGTATCAGCAGGGTCAATGCAGCACCTCAACTTGTTAAGAACACTTCTTACTGTGAGATCCGATACACTTACCAATTTTTCATTCTCTTTAAAGTTCCATGTTCTCCTCGATGTAGTCGTACCGTTCTCCATGCTTTTGGCTATGAATTTGCAGATAATGGAGTAGAAGTAGCAATGGAAGTAGAAATAGAAGCCAAAATATAGAAAAGAAATAGAAAAAAATGACAAGTAGTGGTTGAAAAATGTGTCCAGCACACTATATACGCAAGCACCTGACAACTAACAATGACTTCTTATTTATCATGTTATGTTTTTTATAATTTAACTAAAAAAAAATTATGAAAATTAAAAGTGCATAAATATAATAATAGAAAATAACAAACGAGAAATGCTAAAAATGGCCACAATTATTTGGGCAGAAATGTAAGAACACCATATTAATTTTTTTTCCTCCAAAACAAAATTAAATTTTTGTTGTGGTATTTACGTGGAGAACTTGTATTTGACTTCGTCAGTTAAATACTCCTATTTGTTATTTTGCGTAATGAATATTTAAACTCGATGACATCTAATCAGTAGGTGAATAATACAACCAACTACGTGAAATTACACTTTAT